TTGCAAACAGGGACAGTTTGACTTCATATTTTCCAATCTGAATGCCCTTTATTTCCTTTTCTTCTCTGATTGCTCTGGCTAGTACTTCCAACACTGTTGAATAGGAGTGATGAGAGTGAGCATCCTTGTCTAGTTCACATTGAGGAAGATATTGGCAGTGGGCTTATCATATATGGCTTTAATTGTGTTGAGATCCTTCCCATCTATACCTAACTTGTAGAGAGTATGATGAACAAATGTTGAATTTTGTCAAATGCTTTTTCAGCATGTATAGAGATGATCATAAGGTTTCGTCTTTGATTTTATCGATATGGTGTATCACATTTATTGATTTGCATATGTTGAGCCAACCCTGCATCTCTGGGTTGAATCCCACTTGATCATGGTGTATAATTCTGTGTATGTGTTGCTCTATTCTGTTAGCTAGTATTTTATTAAAGATTTTTGTGTCTATATTCATCAAGGATATTGACCTGTAGTTTTCTTCTGTTTTATCTTTGTCCGGTTTGAGTATCAGGGTGATGTTTGCCTCATAGAATGAGTTTGGGAGAATGGCCTCTGTTTCAATCTTTTGGAGTAGTTTGTAGAGAATTGGTATCAATTCGTCTTTGAAGGTTTGGTAGAATTCTGCAGTGAACCTGTCTGGTTCTGGGCTTTTCTTTGTTGGGAGACTTCTGATAATAGCTTCAATCTCTTTTATTTATTTATTTATTTATTTTTGGTCTGTTCAGATTTTCTACATCATCTTGGCTCAGTTTTGGTAGTTTTTGTGTGCCCAGAAATTAATCCATTTCCTCCAGATTTTCAAATTTGTTGGCATATAGTTGTTTATAGTAGTCTCTAATGATTCCTTGTTCACTGGCAGACTCCAGTCCTTTCTCGAGCAAACACTAGAAAGCCTTTTTTTGTGCACCTTCCAGAAATTTCCTGTGACTAATGATTTTCTAACCTGGCCAAGACAAGGTGATATGAGAAATTAAAATGATATGTTCTGCCTATCCTTCCTTATTAATGCTAATTTATGTTGCTAATTACAGTATGAATAAAGACAAATTTCTTAACCTCCAGTGATTTCCTTACTGATAGGAAGATGAGATCTGATGTTCGTAGCCCTATATACTCTTTATATGTATCTATGTCCAATTCCATTTGGACATCATGAGAAGACATAATGCCTGCTTTGTTGGCACTTAAGTATATTGCAGACAGATGTACCAATGCATTAAAATGCTAGTCAAAGTGTCAAATAATGATCGTTTTACGCCTAAATCTTATGCTCCTGATAACTGCATTCACAAATCTGCCTGGCAATTTTCCAGGTGAGGTAAAGGATAATCCACAAGATGTTTAAGTGTTTCTATTAATAATTTACCATTGGGATTTTGAGTGAGAACATGACCATTTAGGATCCTTAATATGGAAATTGATTTTAATTATGTCTTTAAGGGCAATTTATATAAAAAAAATCAACTGCTGGGCAACACTCCAGAGAATGGCTCACGTAAGTGAACAGAAAGTATCGATACCTAAGGCTGTGGTCTAAGAAACCTCTACAGCTAATTCCCATTACCTGTGACCCACGACACAGACAAATCATGGACTATGGAAATAATTCACTGTTTATTCCTGAGTCTCATATGCCTGTCTGCTTCACTGTAATTTGTAATCAGACATCCTGTTGTTCTCACACTCATTATCAAGTTGTCTAACGACAAACCTGTCATCCTCCCCAGCTGGCTTGCCTGCTTATCTTACCAATGTGCTATAATGGGACCATGACTCTTTTCAGTCACACAGTCCAGGAAACTTAGAATCAAGCCTCATAGACTGAGAATTACAGAGCTGGAACAGACTTTAGCGGTCACCGTGTGCAGGAGGAGACAGGTCCCTGGAAGGGAAGGGATACACAGTGACACACAGCTGCTCTGTGGGGAGGTGTGGCTGTGACTCCGTCCATCCGTGTGCTGACTGAAGTCCCAGCTCAGCTTCCCGAGGCCTCCTCTGACAGTGCATCCTTCACTTTCTGTCTCTGTACCACCCTGATTTGGGGCCTCATCACCTCATATCTGGATGGTGGCAGGGTCCCTAACAGCCCTCGCTCTCAAACCCCTCCTTGCCACAGCCCTGGCTCCTTTTAAAGATACTACTTTACATGTACTGGGAGTTGGGAAATCTGAGTGGTGGTCCTGAACTCTCTGTGTGACTTGAGTTCCTCAGTTTACTTGACTGTAAAATGCAATTCTTAACCAGCGTGTACCACCACTTAGGGGTATTTGTAAATGCTTGGGGACAGCGGTGGTTAATTTCAAGGTGCCAACTTGACTGGGATAAGGGATACCCAGATAGCTGGTAAAGTGCTGTTTCTGGGTGTGTCTGTGAGGCGTTTCCAGAGAGATTGATACTGGAATTGTAAACTGAGTAGGGGAGATCCATCCTCATCCACTGTGGGTGGCACCAGCCGAAGGGCCGAGGGCCGGGATAGAACGGAAGGCAGAGGAAAGGTGGCTTCTCTCCCTCATAGAGCTGGGACACTCTTCTTCACCTGCCCTTGGACATCAGAACTCCAGGTGCTCCTGCCTTCACACTCGGGGACTCTCACCAGAGACCCCCCAATTTCTCAGACCTTCGGCCTCGGAGCCAGAGTTACATCAGTGGCTCCCCTGGTTCCCAGGCCTTCAGACTTCATGGAGCCATAGCACCAGTGTCTCCGATTCCCCAGTTTGCAGATGGCAGATACTGGGATTTCTCAGCCTCCACAGTCGCACAAGCCAGTTCCCACAGTACATCCCCTCTCATTATCTATCTGTCTGTCTGTCCATCCATCCATCCTATTAGTTCTGTTTCTCTGGAGAACCTTGACTAATACGGGTGCCTTTTGTTTTGCTTTGTTTTCTGTTTCTTCATTGTTACAATGACTGGAGGGGCGAGGACACTCCTGACATTTCATGGACAGACCATGTGATGGGATGGGACATTTGCACACACCAGAGAACTCCCCTGCACTCAATGCCAAGAGTCTTCCCCTGCTGAAAAGAAATGGGTGAAGTGGCCGCTAAAGCCCCTTTTTACACAAAAGCCATCATACAACTTTCCTCAGATTCATTAACGGGCTCTGTAAAAAGGCCCATCTCCTCTACATGGCACTTGAGGCTCTTCCAAAACCAAAACAGAGCAAGTGGGAGTTCACTATTCTGGCCAGACTGAGCTGCTCACTGCCTCTCTGCGCACCCGTCTCAGTCCTCCTCTGTCCCTTGGCTCCGGCTGTGCTTCCTGTGGGGCTGGCCCTCCTTCCCCCTGCACCTTGCTAGGTTCTACCAGTTTCCAAGTTCTGCGTCAGTTACCTTTCCCTGGGGCCTCTTCTGAACTTTGGTGGGTGGCACCTGTCCTAACATCTCTCCTGCCCTCAACCGTATTCTTATTTCTCTTGGTACTTAACTCTGTATATTTTTGGGTTGGTTTTACAAATAGAATACGAACTTCTCCAGGGCAGGGATTGTCTCATACTTCTCGGCCTTCCACAGTGCTCACAGGAAGCCAGGCACTTACTTAATTGGCGTTTGTTGAACAAAATCATATCAGAGCAAATGCAGCATTTCCCACTGGCCCATCTCCCCCCCCTTTTTTTTCCTTTTTGTCTTTTTTCATACTTTCAGAAATTTATAAAAGTGCCACCAGGGAGGGGACTGTGCACATTCAGCTGAGAAGCTGGGTGTTGCTCTCTGTGGTCTGTGATCACATCTGCATCTAGAGGGTCCTGACACCCATGGGATGCTCAGGATGTATAATACTCCATCTCTGCATGGTCCCATACCACATTATGTATATGCAAAAAGAAATATTTAGCATGCTTCCAGCAGTATCCTGAAATGATGATTCCTGAGATGATCACATGAAAGAAAAATTCATTCTATCACACTGGCAGGAAGCCATGAGCACCCTTCATTGGGAACAGTTCTGTCTCTCAGTATACAGAGGACTGCTCCTGAAGAAGTGGTAAATAATTGCCGCTGATACATCAGCAACAGACTCTTCCCTTGAGACTGTTGTTTGCCACCTGGAAGTGTGGCTGTTGGGAGGGTTGCTACAATCCCAGCTTCTCCTGGGATGGCTACTGTGGCTTTCCCTGGAATGACTCTCTGTGGCAGATGAGTGTGTGTATATATATATATATATCTCCTTCCTATACACCACCTTTTCCATTTTTTACCTCATTACAATCCAATACTATGAGGTGTTTTATGGGAAATAGTTTTCAGAGCCCACATCTCCTGAGATCCGGTTTCTGTGAACAGAGGGCAGAGATGTGTCATCAGGACGTAAGAAGTATTTGCTCATGATGCTGTTAGGAACTGACTGGAAGTAGAGAAGAGCTACCTGCTGAGTTGGGAAAGGAGGAGAGGAAATGGTACAGGATATAGAGTCATTCAGAGAGGCAATGAAAGTGACGTTTCAGAAGGGCAGTGGCCCTGCGTGGTCCAGCAGAAGGTGACCACGGGCCGTGAAAGAAGACAGCCAGCCAGGGAAGAGCATACAGAAGGATGGGAGAGCGTGTTCTTGTGGCCTCGTTCATTTCCCCAGTGCTGAGTCCATGAGCACAGTATTGCAGTCTTCTCCAGGATCTCACGGAGAGGCGGAAGCCACAGTCAGCCCTGCACTTCGCAGCAGGTGGACTGGTGGGCCTCAGCAAGCACCGCTCCAGCCACAAGAGGGGAGTCTCCTGACCTGCACTTTCAGACTCCTTCCAGCCAGACACATTTTTAGTAGTGGTGACTGCTGGACAAAAAGGAAGGCAGAAGACAGGAAATCTGAAGAAGGTCTAGGGAGTCAAGTGTGTGTCCCATGTGGGTATTCATTCTTCTGTGCAGCAGTACGCACGTGACTTAGTCTCCTACGGAGCAGGCAACCCTAGATCCCTGTCGCCAAGCACTAGGTCTGGCCCCACTAGACCAGGCAGAGACCGTGCACCTGTGGACAGGAGGGTGGGGTGTGGGGAGTGTTACCTCTCCAGCACTGTAACTTCGGAGCCTCTGCAGGTGCTGTCGATGAGTCAGGTGATTGTGAAGACGACCGTTCTGAAGAGGGATTCGGGGGTCAATGAAAGTGGTAGCTCGACTGTTGTGGTCCACGAAAAAAGACTGCAGACAAACCAGTAAAAAGAGCACAATAGGGTCAGTAACATAAGGGCTCCAGCACCAACACTCCCTGCCACCTTCCCATCCACTCACATTCATCTAGCTGGTCGGGGGCTGGGCACTGTGCATCTGTCTGCCCAGCAGCTGAAAAAAGCATGTCAGTCATTGGCAAGCACTTTACGTTGTCTGTGGAGTTTACAGAGCAGTGATCATAGCACCTTATTCAACAAGGAAAGTGAGAGAAATAGGACCTTTGAAGGATTAAAATAATACTAGTAATTAATAATCTGTAGGCCATTTTATTTACTTTTAAGATAAATGCTCTTTTTTGATGATAGGATGAGCATGTTTTAACTGAGAAAAAACTTTAAAAGGATAAAAATGTAGAGAGAAAAACCTTTGAAGGATTAAAATAATACTAGTAATTAATAATCTGTAGGCCATTTTATTTACTTTAAAGATAAATGCTCTTTTTTGATGATAGGATGAGCATGTTTTAACTGAGAAAAAACTTTAAAAGGATAAAAATGTAGAGAGAAAGTCATCAAAATCACCCCATACATCATAAGCTAAAGATAGTCACTAAAACATTTTGGTGATTTTTTTTCCCAGTCTTTTCTCTTCCTATACACAAATAGAAATATACATGTATTTTCTTCACATCAGGATCTACAATCTTGTTATAAGATTTTACGCTTATTATTTTATAAGCATTTCTCTAAGTTATTAAATATTCTTCTAACAGAATTTTAACAAGTACATAATATTAAGTTTGATGGCTACTTAATAATTTCAGTACCCTTTATTGTTAGACGTTTGACTTTTTTACTGTTTTAAAATAACACTTCAATAAACACAACATATAAGTTCCAATGTATGGCAAAAGTTTTTTAAATCTAAAATTACCTCTCATACAAGAGAAAGTTATTACTTTGTTTTTTTTACAAAACCTTTTGTTCTATAGGACAATCTTTCAGTCACTCACCTTTGAACAAACTGCAGCATTTGGTGAAGGCGTATTAGCCTTAAATAACCTCAGTCAATACTAGTTTTAGGTTTTTTTTAGATATCACCTGACAGAAGTAGTCAAAGAAATTTTATACAGATTTAGAAATTATTCTTGGGAGCTACGAGCTTATAATTTCAAGTATTAGATGTCACGGTAAACAAGCCTTTTAAAGAGCTCTATAAAGAATCATACTGGAAGTGGTTTCATTATGGAGATCAAAAATATCCCCTCCCCCAAGGACAATGGGAAATAACAACTCTCCTAATGTTATGTGAATCAATATTCGTGGCTTGCAATAAAATTTCTCGAGATAGCATTCCACACAGATTCAAAAAGGACTCTATGTCCAACTGAAGATGATGTCCCTAAAATACTGCTAGATGATTCAAAGAGAGATGTAAGTGATGTAAAAAATATGAGTAAAGAATCTGAATAAGACTGAAATGTGAGCGAAAAATACAAAATTTATCAACATGTTTATATAACATGAGATTTTAAACACACAAGTATAAGCTAAATTAATAAATATTCAAAGTGGACTTTTTATTATGCAAATCCATGCACAGAAGTTTACAAATTAAATATGTCCCTTATACTTGTGCATGTGTGGTAATTTTTTAGTATAAATTCCTAAAAGTTGAATTTATTGCTGGGTTAAAAGTTAGAAAAATATTTATGGTTTTTGATCTATATTAAGTAGTACAAATTTATCATCTTACCATAAGTCCACGACTCTTCCTTTTTCTAATGTTCTCACGTATGCTGAGTAATTTTGAAACAACTCTTAGAAATGTTAAATGGTGAAAATGGTGAATTTTAATTTAGCACAGGATGTACAAAAGAAAAACATATTCCCATAGGCTTATTGGTTGATTTTGTTCGAGGACTGTCCACTCTCCATTCCCTTTTCTGTTGTTGTTGCTGTGTTAAAGTTTTCTTATTTATTTATACATGCACTTAGTTATGCAACTGCCTTCAAATTTGCTTTGGGTTTTTGTTTGTTTTCTAACACACAAGTTTTTTATATTCCTGTGTATTCATATCTCTCACTCATTTCTCTCTAGAGGTCAGTTAAATGTTTATAATTTTCTAGCTTTATTAGAGTTGGTTAATTGTTAACATCAAATCTTTAGTCTTTCTCAAACTTATTTTGGTATGATGTCAAGTTGTAATTTGATATTTTCTCAAAGAGCCCATTTTCACAAATCATCCATTCCCTACTGTTTTATTACATGTAAATTTCTTATAAATACTACTGTTTGTTTCAGGAATATTTTATCTGTTCCAATGGTCTGTGGGCTTTTCACTGATATCACACTATTTCTACTATTAATGTCTGCAGGGCAAGTTTCCTCGTTATCTTTTCCGACAGTTTCAAAGGTATTGTTGTCTGCTTATTTTTATTCTTCCAGACGGACCGGTATTAATTTTATTAAGTTCCAAAATAGTTATATTGGTATTTTGTTTAGAATTAGCTTAAGACTACAAATTATTTTTAAGAGAATTTATTCTTTATGACAGTCAGTGTACCCATTTCCCATTTCTGATCATGTCTATTGAAGTTTTTTTTTTTTCCTTAGTAAAGTTATATAGTTGTCTTCCTGAAAAACACATATTTCTGGATAAGACAGATTATGGATATTTAACACCATCTTCTGCTATTGTGAGTGCTTTTTTTCCTATAATGTTTTATAACCCATCATTGCTGGTACCTAGAAGAATGCTATTATTTGTTTTTTTATTTTTGTCTGCTCATCATATTAAATGTTTCTATCAAGTAAACTACTTTTAAAATTATATCCTCTTTGATTGTCACTTGCAAATCATAATAACTTTGTCTCCTTTACAAGGGCACTTTTATTTTTACCTCCTTTCTCGTAATATTGGTGAGAACTTCTACAACAATGTTAAATTAGAGGTGGCTGGTGAAATCTATTCTTGCTCTTGATTTTAAGGGGAAAACTACTAGTGTCCCATAGGTATAATATCATGTTGCTCATTGTTTTAAAGGAGCCTTTATTAGGTCGCAAAGACATACTTACATTCCGAGTTTACTAAAAGTACTTTTTTACAAAGGTATAATTGATTTTTATCCAGTAGTTTTCTAGCATTTCTTAAAATGATCAACTGAAATTCTTTCATAGTTTATAAACTACTGGCTAAAATACTAATGGTAACTAGTAATAACAGATTTGCTACTAGTGTATGGCCCTTGCATCCTAGGGAGAAAATCGATTTAATTGTGGTGTGTCATTATTTTCATATACTGTCTAATTTAACATTTCATTTCTTAATATGAGCTTTTTGGAACTCAAGTGAGTTTTGCCTATTTTTTTAAAACATTCAGAATTCCCTAGTTTTATTTGTGTGTGTGTGTGTGTGTGTTTGGTTCTACACAATTTTATCACATGTGTAGGTTCATGTATCCTCCAGCACAGTCGAGACAGAAAAGTTTCCTTACACAAGGGTCCTTCATGTGCCCTGTTATGATCATACTCCCCGACTTCCCTCCCCATCCATTTCTGTAATTTTGTCTTTTCAAGAATGTTATGTAAGTGTAATCATACAATACGTAATCTTTTGGGATTGGCTTCTTTCACTCAGCATAACTCCCTTGAAATTCATCTAAGTTACTTTACCCACTCTTCTTTATTGTTGAGTAATATTCCACAGCATGGATATACCAGAGTTTGTGCCAATAGCTTTTGCCTACCTGGTTTTATTAGCAGTTATGATTGCATCATATCATAAACTATGCAGTTTCCACTTTTTCCTGTATCTGAAGTAGACTGTAAAGATATCTGGGACAGAGCAAGCAATTCATTGATATATTTTCCTGTGGAACCATTTTAATCACTTTTCTTGTTTTTTTGTATTTTTTTTTTGGCATCTAGCTGGTACAGGGATCGAACCCTGGACCTTGGTGTTACCAGTAATGTGCTCTAACCACTGAACTAACTGGCCAGCCCCATTTCAACCATTTTTGAGTGTACAGTTCTTCAACCATTTTTAAATGTACAGTTCAGTGGCCTTAAATAAATTCTCATTGTTGTGCAACCATCACCTCCACCCATCTTTAGGACTTTTTTATCTTCCCAAACTGAAACAACATTTCCATTGAACAATAACTCCTCATTCCCTCCTTCCCCAAGTCCCTGGTAATCTCCTATTTTCTGTCTCTATGAATTTGACTATTCTAGGTACCTCATATAAGTGAAATCACATCATAGTTTTATTTTGTGTCTGGCTTATTTCACTCGGCATATTTCACTTATGTCTTCAAGGTCCATCAACGTTGCAACATGTGCCAGAATTTCATTCTTTTTAAAGGCTGAATAATATTCCATTGTATGTATATAACACATCTTGTTTATTCATTCTTGTAAGCTCTATTTTTAACAAAATAATTAATATATGTTTCATTAACACAAAACTATATTATTCAAATCCTGACTTACTTGTCTATTTAATCTGTCAATTTGATGGATATAAAACACATTTTCCTACTGTAACTGTATTTCTTTCATTTCCTTTTATATTTCTCTTTGACTTTTCTTTGTGTAATATAACATGGTATTATTTGGCTCATAGGTATATGATTATTGTGTCTTTATTTTAATTGTGCCATGGATTGATATAAAATCTTCCTATGATCCCATTTAATGATTGTGGATTTGTGGTCTCCTTTGTATGACTGATTTCTCTGTTATTATTTTCACTCTATATGAACATTTATTCTTTTATTTTTAAACCTTCTGAATCATTTCTTCAGTATGTCTGGATCTGTTTGTTATGGAATCTGGAGGTGTCTTCCTTTAGGTACGTGAGCTCACCCTGTTTCCACACGCTGCTGCAGCTGCTATGCTTGGCTCCACTCTTGTTAACTTATCTTTATCATTTCCGCTCTCTCTGAATTTCCTTGTGTTTTGCTGTACAAATTATATTTTGTTTGATTTGATCTTTTGTTGGAATTTGGAAGAGAAAAATCTTGTTT